TTTGGGGACTTGATCCGGAGCTCTGGATCGGGGACTTCTGGATCGGGGTCTGGATCGGGATGAGCGCTCGCCCTTGTTCCGGACCTTTCATATTGAGCGGTAGCCATATGGTTTGATGGCTAAGCGGCAGGCTAGCGGCAAGGCCTCAATCCTTCCTCCAACAAAACTTTGAGTAACTCCCACGAAACATGGCCAACTTGCTGGCAAAGCTTCAAACGCCCTGGTCGGCTTGAGGTGTTGCGACCAAATCTTGATGGCTTCTGCCTCAGGTTTACTGGTAAAAGTAAGTCACCTTCCCAAAAGACAATCCGCCAGTCTTCGCAAAATTTCCAAAATCACATCAGCTTAGAAGCAACTGCTTCGGCGACGCGCTCACCTACCGGTTGCAGTTGATGGCTCCCAGGAGCAGCAGTTTGGTGGAACTCCTTCTCCAGAAAGCCTGATTGAGTAGGATTTCGAGCGGTCGGGTTTCAGGCCTCAAGGGGACATCGTTGCCGTAGGCTGCCAGAACTACAAAAGCCACCCAACAGCCGAGCATCCTGCGAAACATGAAAAAAGCCGAGATGAGCCCTATGCGATCACGACTGGTGACCCGACCACGAATTGCACATTGCAACATGAAAGTTCTCAAAGGGCCCGAACAGAACCCGACTCACGGCACACAGCTTGGTTTGAGGTCCGGCAAGCAGCTTAGGGTGACGAATTGGATGCAAATACTGTCCTTGCCCCAACCGCTTCTAAGACCTAGGATCATCGACTGCCCTGCTTTATCTCTGTCTGAAGTGCCAGCAAGCTGCTGTAGATGACGAGACCTTCGCCTGCCATTGCCACTCTTTGCGATCTAGACAGAACATCTAAGTCATCTAAGAAATCTAGGTAGCAGCTCAGACACTCCAACTTCCAAAACAGAAACAATTTGATCAGCCAGCACTGCTATCGCACTGCGGTCGCTCTGACGTCTTGACGGGAATTATTGCGTCTCGGAAAAAGTGCCGATGAGGAACCTTCCGGCGAAGTCCTGGCTCAAATTGTGATCCATGTGTTTGTGATAACTCGCATGAGCTTCCCAAATCCATGACCCAAGCCGTCACCATCAGACTTAACACCGGATTTCCTGATCCACACAGTGGCTTCATTCCCCATCTATCTTCTGAAAACTGCATCCTTGGAACCCATTACCTGAACGATGCAACCCCACTGAATCCTTCTGAAAACCTACGCTCTGCGCATGCTAAGCTATGCCGAGTCACTGTTCCCTGCTACATGTGTCTCTGAATCCATATTTTGAAAGCCAAGCTTGCAGCTAAGAGGACGAGTCCAAGCTTTAGATGCAGAGCTTGCTTAAAATCTTCAATCCAATATTCGCACAAACTTGACTAAACGCGGCTGCTATGCGAAGCACTAGGTCCACTCAATGCCAATAGTCTCTCTTTCCAACAAGCCCTCTCAGTCATGTTGCTGCCCTACACACTCTTCAGAACATCGTGCCAAGGCTCACCACCATAGGGCCACGCTCGCCCTGCAGTTCCACCAGCATCAAAATAAGAATGTCCTGGCAACGTCGTGTGCGAGGCTCTAGAATGGTCCAGAAAACCTGCTCTGCAAAGAGGAGATCTGACCATGGTGAGCATGAATGATCTTAGACAGCATGAGGATCTTCTGGGAAGACCTCTCCACTTTTGGGCGTTCCATTCACGACATGCATAACCACAAACACGGCATGGCATGCCCTGCCAACATCCACAGGACCCTTTCTGACCCCAAGACGACAAAAGCATGGAAGCCGGCGACCCCTCTTGAACCGGGCGCGAACGCCTTCGCGTGCGGGAGGGCCATCATCAGTCGCTGCCGCAGCACTTGAGCTTCGCCTTGTACCACATCTGGAACATCGAGCTTGGAATCGGGTGAGTACAACAAGGGCCTGAAATGGGCTATGCTTCAACAGGGCTCATCTGGATTCATTTGACACAAGAAATTTGTGGGGAAGCAAGCTGATGATGCTGATAGCCTGTTGCAAATTTGAGACCTACGCTCAAAGCTTCGGCACAATCTCTGCCTCTTCCCTCTGCTTTCATGTGCACTTAGCTGCTGAACAGCAACCAAGGTACGCAGCTCGCCGGTGTGATTCACCAGCCGTAGAAAAACTCTTGGGGCATCGTACGGCACATCGCCCAGTCCAAGGAAGCGTTCGATCCTCCGATTGAACACGGCCTGTGTTCTGGGATTTTGCAGGTCATGATGCCAGAAGCTGCCACCCCATTCCGAATCCAGGAAGATCGGGTGCTGATTGGTCGAACACCAGCCTCTGTAGGTCAGAAAGTTTTGGAATTCTGCGTCCATGCAGCGCCCGATCCCGTCCAGAGGGGTCCTCGTCCAGTCGAAGGGATAAGACATTTTGCGGAGATCCAGCAGCTGCAGCCCAAAGGTCGGCGCACAGTAGCATCCAAGACTAATGAACTCGTGTTGTTGCATGAACTCGCTTGCAGGCGCTGTATCCAGGCCTAGCATACGCCGACGGTGACCAATGGTCATGGTGGCAGGCATCGCCGGAAGCTCCTTGCAGATCATGGGAATGGCCACGAGACAAGTGAACTCAGACAGCTCTGCAAAACGACCTGCCAGCGTTGCATTGCAGGCTTCAGGAGCTTGGAACAGGATTTAGAGAGACCGATGAAGGGATTCCTAAGGTGCTAGTACTTCCTTTGAGACATTGACCTACTGGGGATGCAACGGCATGTACTTGCCTAAAGGCGCGCTGCATGCTGAGCTGGCAGGCTCCTCCAGGTGTGCATCCCACTGCGGCGCGGCCTCCATTTCTAGCTGTGGAAGTTCCGCCTCCTGACAATGTTCAGGTACTGACAGGCGCTGACATGCTGACATCTTCGCGAAGCTGTCAGAGAGATGTGAGCCCCTAGGAAGTGGGAGGTAGGTAACCATTAATTAGGTCAGGGCAACCATTCGTAGAGGCAGCAGCAGCAGCCCCAATGCCTGCAGGGCTCTGGGGACCCATTCCAGAGCGTCAGCACGGAGAACAGTGTTGGCCTTGGCTGCACAACTCCAAAACATGTCGACTGCCAGCGCTATCACCAGTGGATCTGCGAGTGGAAGATCGCGAAATTACGTCAGGCCAACTCCCCTTCAGCCCTTCCTTAGCCAGTATGGTTTCAAGGCAGGTCAGGTTGTGGTGCGGTCAGGCGACCAACTCTGCTGCGGGTTCCTTTTCTTGTGAAGGCTTCTTCACTGATGCCGCCAACAATGGGTGCAAAGTTGAATCTGAGCTCACCTTTGGATCCTCTTCTGCAAGGAGTTTACAAATCTCCAGGGCACTCCGGAGGGTGGCTCTGCGGCCCTCTGCCCGAGGGCATGTAGCGTGAGATGTTGCAGGCTTCACGAGATCAAATGCAAGGCACTCCTACCAAGAGCCTGACTTTCTCAAAACATTCACTTCAAGCATCGCCTCCCTTACATGCATTTCAGAAATCGTGTCAATTCAAGGCTTGGGGTAGCCAGTATGGTTTCTAGGCAGGCTGTGGTGCGGTCAGGCGACCACCTCTGCTACGGCCTCCATCTTTTCTGACGGCTCCTTCACTGTTTCCGCGAACAAGGCGCGCAAAGTTGAAGGCTGCAAAATTTGAGCTCTAGACCTTTGGCTCCTCTTCCGTCATGAGCTTCAACATTTCCTGAACACTCCGGAGGGTCGCTCTGCGGCTCTTGGGTCAAGAGCATCTAGCATGAGACATTGCAGGCTGCATGAGATTGAATGGCAAAGCCCTCCCAACTAGAGCCTGACTTTATCCAAACATTAACTTCGCGCATCCCCTCCCTCACATGCATTCCAGAAAGGGTCTCAATTCAACGCTTTGGGCCAACCCCTTCAGCCCTTCCTTAGCCAGTATGCTTTTCCGGGGTCTTTTTGCGTCTACGCTGTAAACTCAGACATAGTGTGCCAACCTTTTCTGCCGGCTTACCGGCGGCTCGATCAACTACAGACACGGCTTTACTGCCGCGAACCAAAAAAGGAATCGGGTGCAGTCAGGCAACTACCTGTGCTGCGGCGTCCTCCTTCTTGGAGGGTTCCTTCACTGTTTCCGCGAACAATGTGCACAACTGAGGTTGCAAAATCTGAGCCCTAGACCTTTGCATCCTCTTCGGTGAGGAGACTCCAGATCTCCTGCGCACTCCGAAGGGTCGCTCTGAGGCTCTCGAGTCAAGGGCATAGCGTGAGACGTTGCAGGCTTCACGAGATCGAATGCTTTGCTCTCCTACCAGGGGCCTCATGCAAAGACAAACCCCATCTAGAAGCGTTTGCATCATAGCAGCGGTCCGGCAGTGTCCGGCATGCCGCGTGCGCTGCCATGAAGAGCTGAAGCAAAGCTAAAAGCTTGAAGCGTCATGTAAGTTCAAACTTCAAAGTGAATTCTGCACTTCAAGATCGCAAATCTGCAGCGAAGCCACGGGCTGCAAGGCCAAGACTTCCCATGGCACTGGGGGCAGCAGGCCGAGAACGACATCCAAGACCATGGCGGCGTCGATGCAAAGCCGCGGGCGGTGTTGCGAAAGTATCCGAAGGGCTCTTGCCTCTTTTCCCCAATGCGGGCTGTTGCAGTCTAGAAATGTATAGAAATCACTGCGTGCTCCCAGCTGGGCTGTGCGGTCTCTAGCATGCAGCAGTGCTGAAGGCTGCAGGTGCCAGATGTCGCACAGTGTTTGGTGTCTTTGTTGACGTCTGCACGTGCAGTGACATGAGGTGGAATGAAAGCTGGGCCTCCGCGCGGTCCAGCCGAGCCATCGGAAGCAACTCCATCAACACCTGCACTGAATGCATCATGCTACATCATGCTACCATGCAAGCTTGGCCTTGTTCCCAGAACCGTTTCGCACTGGAGTCTCAGCCGATTCCCCCGGATTTGAAGGTGACTGCCACTACTGACCTCACTCCCCTCTGCTCTCAACGGGCTGGTATGGGATTGTGGGCAAACTTGCTGCAAATGCTTGGCTATGAGTGACCAGGAATTGGTTCACTTCAGCATGGCGCATGGGTGCCGCAGAGCCGTGACGTGTCACAAGCGCCACGCCTCAACCCTCAGGCCGAAGCCATGCTGAGGGCGTGCGGAGCTTACACGTCTACACGGCCAGTTACTGAACTCATATACTATAGTAGTTTCCATTTTCTTTTCCATTATCCCAATATAACCCCAATATAACCCCACTGCAATGTAACCCCAATGTAACCCCAATATAAATGGATAGCACCTTTTGGTGTCAGGATCCTCTCGTAAAGCGGCGCTTGCGGCACAAGCTCTACCACTTTCCTCTCACTGCTTTGCTGGTTCTCGCTGTGGATGCGGCAAACTGCAAACACATCCTTACAAGGGATCGGGCTCTCATCGCACCTTATCAAATCATGAAAGCATCAACAGCTGGCACACGCAGGCAAACCCAAGCTTCATGGTAAATCATGGCTGGCAGCTGGTATACTTACCTTTGGTTAGATAGGAAAGAAAGAATGGATCCTGAAAGAAGTCCCTATCGGGCCCATTCTAGTAGTTGCCATTATCTTTTCCATTCCTTCCTTCCCAGCTACAAAAAGGTAAGTACGGCACGCATGCATGATGACAGGCAGACTTGCTGGTTTGCTTTTTGTGGCTGCAATCGATGCATGGCGGCCTCCAAGCACCCAATGTCAATCGCGGCACCCCTCACTGGTTCTTTCTAAGATTCGACTTCTAGGCCATTCCAAACCTCTATGCATAAACAGAATTAAGGGTAAATATCGGGGTTATATAGGGATAATGGCAAAGAACATGGAGACTACTACTTTATAATAGTGTAGATATTGACGTTATCTAAGTGGGACAACAAGTTTCCCAACTTCCCTCTTGGTGTCAAGGACCAGCAAGACTTGCCTGGACAGGTCCGCCATAGCAAAATCTCTGCAGGCTGCTTCGCGCTCAGAGACTTTGCAACAGGCTTCTACCCTACCGCTTGTTCTGTACATCTATTCTCACTTACCGGCTCTTAGCAGGGAATACGAGAATATAACCCCTATACAAAGCCTCTATATTATATTCATATATATATATATTTGTATATTCTCCCAGTTTCCCTACCAAGAACCAGTAGGCTTA